AGTGCCTTTATCTGCTGAGCTATCTTGCCCGCCTTCAGCAACTTTAAAATGAGATCAATGAGAAGCAGCCAGTTCTGAAAGACAGGAAATAGACTGAGGAAAAAAATCCTTAAAACAGTCCTATTTTAAGATGAGAGTGACTTCCCTTTTCCCACGAGTGTATGGGGGTTCATTTTATGGCTCATCTAGAATTAGCAGCAACTGACGGGAGGAAACTCATTTCTCCCATACCCACTGTCCTGGTTTGTTTTCTACTGCTGAGAGAAAGGCCTTGACAGAAGTAACTTGAGGAAGAGAGAGTTTATTTTAGCTTACAGATGAAGGAAGCCAAGGGAGAGCCTGAAGCAGAGACCACAGAGGCGTGCTACTTCCGGGCTTCCTCTTGAGACTTGCGTAGTTTGCCTCCTTAGACAAGCCAGGGCCAACTGCATGATGACACCACCCACAGTGGGCTGGGCTGCCCACAAAGATCATCAAATCAAGAAAATATTCCACAGACATGCTCACAGGTCAATCTGATGAATGCAATTCTTCAATAGCTGTTCCTGCTTCCCACATTACTTTTTATCTAGCATACCAAAACAAAACTTAGCAGCACACCCACCAAAACAATTATGGAAGACATGCACAAATCAGTGCTTTACAGGATTACAAAGCACTATTCAAAAGTCCTGCTGAGTCTAGTGAGAAACAATATCTTGCAACCTGATGTGCACTTTAATTCATCACATCAACACCACCTTGGAGACAAAAACCTGAGACAAGGATTCTCACCCCCACCCCACACAGACACACGTGACAGCTGTTTGGGAACCTTGAAAATAACAGTGCCAAGGCCAATCTCATAAGGAATGACACAGAAATATCTGAAGATGTTAGTCCAAGAGCCTGTTTTAAGAGGCCTTTGAGGATAGCAAGATGGCTCAGAGGATAACAGTGTTTGCCACCAACTTTGATGATCTGAGTTCCATCCCTGATCCCTACGTGGTAGAAGGAGAAAAGAATCTCTCACAAGTTGTCCTCTGACCACCACACTCATGTACACACATATAAGCAAACATATGTACAAGCAAGGCTGAGAGTTAGTGGTTCTGTAACTCAAGTGTGCAACAGCCTCACCTGCAAGTGATGGTAAGACACAGATCTCTGGATGCCAGACCCAGAGAATCTAAAATAGCTGACTGAAGTCTGAAATGTGCTTCTAACTGGCTCAAGTGATGCCAAAGCTGCAGGTCCAAAGAACACATAGGAAAAGTAAAGCTATTCCTCTACAGCACTGGGTCTCAGCTTTTGCTGCACATAACAATCACAAAATGAGGGGGGTACATGTTAAGAATATTAATACCTGATGTCCAAAACCAGAAAAATTGGTAAAAGATATACAAGTGAATGCTTTTAACAATAAATAAGAATACTTTTACAGTTTGCAGGCATATGAATGTTAGGCAGATTAAGCCAGTCATATAAAGACAAATAACATGTTTTCTCTTCTATGTGGCCCATAGATTTTAAATATACATAAAACTACTCATGACCTCAAAAGTGAATTTAAAACTCTCTACGTCATCAAAGGGGACTAACATGAATGGGGTGGGAAGGTTTTACAGGGGGAAGAGATAATCGGAGTGCAGATATATGTTTGAATGAAGATGCCCTTTTGTAATGGTACCATGTACACAGCATAAAAACAAACAGTTGTTAAAGAAATCTACATGAATGCTGGGTGTTGGTGGCATGCATATGCCTTTAATCCCAGCATTCAGGAGGCAGAGGCAGAGGCAGAGGCAGAGGCAGAGGCAGAGGCAGAGGCAGAGGCATCTCTGTGAGTTCGAGGCCAGCCTGGTCTACAGAGCGAATTCCAGGACAGGACAATACAGAGAAACCCTATCTCCAAAAAAAAAAAAAAAAAGAAAAGAAAAGAAAGAAAAAAAAAAAAAAGAAAAGAAAAAAAGAAAGAAAAGAAAAGAAATCTCCATAAACAATAGCCCAAAGAGCAAAAACCCTAAAAGAACTAAAAGATTCAAAGAAAACATACTTATGTAATATGACATGATGTATAATAAGTAAGTGCTATGAAAAAGTTTAAAGGAAAAAAAGAACACTGAACCCTGAGCCTTTCCCCAAAACCATGGGTCTGCATATAGTCCAGACTGGCCTTGAACTCACAGCTAGTCTGTTGCATAAGTCTTTCAAGTACTGGAATTATAGGCATGAATCTCCAAGCTTAGCTCCTTTCTAATGTTAAAATGAGTATGGACTATTCTGTGTAGTATGTATATTTCTGTATACAATGTTGTCTTGACATCTTAAGGATTCTGCCCCTCCCCACTGGGCTAGTCAATTCTTAGAGAAAGCAAGGCCTGAGGCCAAAGCTATATATTAGTTTTCCATCACTGAAACACGATCCTAAAATGATTCCTAAAAATCAACTTGAAAGTTTGTTTTGGCTCACATTTCTAGGCTATGATTGTTTAGCCCATTGCTTTTGGACTGGACAAAGGAACACATGGTGGAGAAAAAAGCTTATCAGCTCATGCTAGCCAGGAAGTAAGAAAGGTGGAGGGAAGGGGCAGTGTCACATCCCAATATCCCTTTCAATGACCTAACTTCCTTCCATTAGACACAGGCTCTCAAGCTGTGGGTCACAATCCCTTTGGAGTTGAATGACCCTTTCACAAGGGTCACATCAGATATCATGCATATCCTATATCTATATTACAATTCCTAACTAGCAAGATTACAATTATGAAGTAGCAATGAAAATATTTTTTATGGCTGGGGGTCAAGACAATGTGAGGAACTGGTCACAGCATTATGAAAGTTGAGACCCTATCACCTAAAAGCTCCATTACCTCCCAATGGTGCCACAGGCTAAGAACCAGCTTTTGACACTTAGGCCTTCAGGAATGTTTCCAGATCTAAACATCATCTCTGAAGAAAAAAAAAAAAACACCATTTTTGATCCTACTTCTGTAACTGTCCTGAATAACCAGAAAGGAAATAAATAGCTCCTACTCTAGCACTGTGAATATATAATAATATGCTGTGCTCTTGAACTTCCATGTCTCTTCAAAAACAATGCACAACACTAGCTTGGAGTAGTGGCACATATCCATAATTTAATATAATTTGAGGGGTAGAAATCAGCCTTAGCTACATAAGGAGTTTGAGGCCAGTCTGGGTTAAGCAAAACCTTGTCTCAAAACACCAACAAAAACTGCCTGGAAATGTACCTCTATTGGTAGAGTGTTTGCTTAGCATGGGCAAAGTCCTGGGTTCAATTCTCCAGCATGACAACAAAAATTGAGTATGGTTGTGCACACATGTAAATGAAGCAGAAGTCATGAGATAGAAGCAGGATGATCAGAGGCTCCAGGTCATTCTTGGCTGCAATGTTTTTTAGAAGACAACCTGGAATACATGACATCCTGTGGTGGTTTGAATGGCAATGTCCCTCATAGGCTCATATATTTGCATGCTTAGTCCCCAGTTGATAAACTGTTTAGAAGGGTAAAGAAGTGCAGCCTTCAGAACCCAGAGGCTGGATCACCCAGAAACCTAGGATAAAACCAAACGTGACTGGCAAAAAAGGTCAATGAAAAGATTCCTAATGATATTCTGTGTACTCATAGATCATTGCCTGACCCAACTGTCATCAGACAGGCTTTGCCCAGCAACTGTTGGAAACATGCAGAGACCCACAAGTTAGGCAGACCTTGGGAAATCCTGTGGAACAGGGGGAAGGAAGGATTATGGGAGCCAGAGGAGCCAAGGACACCACAAGAAAACTCACAGAATTAAAAAACTTGGGCTCATAAATGCTCACAGAGACTGAACTCCAGCGAGCTTATATATGACTGATTTAGGCCTTCTGTATATATGTTGCTGTTGTCTGCTTGGTCTTCTTGTGGGACTCCTCTAACAGTGGGAGCAGGGACTGTCTCTGACTCTTACCTGCTTTTGGAACCCTTTCATCTTACTGGATTGCTTTGTCCAGCCTTAATAGGAGAAGTAGTATCTTAATGCAACTTGCTATGCCATGGCTGGCTGATAGACATGGGAAGCCTGCCCTTTTCTGAAGAGAAAGGAGGAGTAGTGGATGAGGGTGGGGTGTTAGGGAGGAGAAACTGGGAGGAGTGAGGGAGGGGAAACTGATCAGGCTAGGAATAAATAAACAAATAAGTAAATAAAGGAAGGAAGGAAGTTAGTAAACTATTAACTTCCTGGGGGGGGGAAGAGGTATGACCTTCTTGGAGAAGGTGAGTCACTGGGAGTGACTTTGAAGTTTCAAAAGCCCACACCGACCCAGTGTCTCTCCCTGCCTGCAGATCACACGTAAAGCTCTCAGCTATTGCTATAACACCTTGCCTTCCTTGGGCCAACACACTGCCCACCATGATGACAATGGTCTAACCCTTTGGAACTGTAAGCAAGCCCCCAATTAAATGCTTTCTTTTGTAAGATTAGCCTTGCCAAATGGTGTCTCTTTCCAGCGATAGAACACTAAGACAGACCCTACCTCAAAAGTATATATATACACAACATTTTATATAAGCTTTAGTAGTTATCTTCTTTTGAGAAGCAGTTTGCTTTAGGAGCATTTAGAACTGAGAGAAATCTCAACTACTGTTGAACTGATTATTATTTTGTAAGCCTGGCTATACATGCTAACTTCTTTGTCTTCCAACCATTAGAATATTCAAAATATAGCATAAATTGTTTGGCAACCACCCAAGGACCAACTCCACTATTGAAAAGTTCATGTACTAGAGATGAGTGAATATAGTTAGTTTCAATATCCACATTATTATAGGCTTCTGGTGCTACCTTCCCCCATAATACTCAGCACAATTGTAAGTATTCAGTTCCTACTGTGAGAGTTTCTTAACCTCTCTGGCTATTTCTCCTGACCAATTATCCTTCTACAGGTAAGTGACAAATGTTGTTATTGATCCTAGAGAGGACTATATTTCCTTTTAAAATTATTTTTAATGTTTATTTGCATGTGGGTGAATGTAGGTTTGTGCATATGAGTACAGTGTCCATGGAGGTCAGAAGAAGGCATCAAATCCCCTGGATCTAGTTACAAGCAGTTATGAGCAGCCTGACATGAATACCAGGAATCAAACTTAGGTCTTCTATAAGAGAAGTATGTGCTTGTGAATGCTGAGCCATTTCTCCTTCCCTAGACATAACCACATTATCAAAGGACATTCTAGAAGTGTCAAAGTCTAAAAAACCTAAGTACCCTGCAATTACTACATAACTTTGTCTGCTTTGTGTGGTGTGTGTCTGTATGTACACATGTGTCTGCAATTACACTCTGTAGAGGCCAGAGATTGATATAATTTCCCAACTCTCTTTCTTTGGAAATATGGTCTCTCACTGAACCTGGAACTCACTTAACTAGATTGGCTAGTCAGGGAAACCCTCAAGATCCCCCTGTCTCCACTTCCTAGCACTGGAAGAACAGCCTTGTCCACTATGACCTGTTACTTATATGTGAATGCTGGAGTTTGAAACTCAGTTACTTGTGCATGTCCGATAAGCACTTTATTCACTTAGCCATCTCCCTAACCCTTCTGCTTTGTAAAACGTTCAAGGAGTTAGGAGTGTTCAAATCTAACCAAATATGGATAATCCCAAAGGGATATGACAAGGTACAGTTCAATCTGCCTCCAAGGAGGCCAGCTATATTCTTCTTGCTGAAGATTCAAACACTGGTTACCCTGGTGATATACATCCATGGTCTCCAATGCAGCAACATGCCAGACCCGGATGTCTCTGAAACTTCAGCCTTTGCAGCCTGTTGTCTCCTACTGCTATCGAGTGAAGAGGAGTACCAGCTCACAGTGTGGGGTGTGGGGAAACAAATCCACAGGTACAGCTTGTCTCAGGACAAATGGTTCACCGAGGAGCTTCTTAGCAGAGTTTGGAGGACAACACAACCTGCACAAATAGACCATAGTTATCAGTTCACCAAATGATGTGACAGACTTTGAAGATCCCCCATGAAAGGCCTCACCCTCCCTGGGGAGTGGATGGGGGGGGTTCATGGCGGGAATGGGTGGGAGGGAGAGGGAACTGGGATTGATGTGTAAAATAAGATCGTTTCTAATATAAATAAAAATGTAGAAATAAAAAAAAGAAAGAAAAGCAAGTACAGGAACATAGTGGCTTAAAACTGAAGTCAGACAGGCCCATGTGTCTCTCATCTACACTGCTCATTATTTCATGTAACTGTTGTACTTATCCATCTTCCCCACTCAAGTACAAATGTTCAACTTACAGTGAGGTTATGGTCGAACAAACCCATTGTAAGCTGAAAATAATAAATCAAAATGCATCTAAAGGACTGCAAAGATGGTTTGGTTGGCAAGGTATCTGAGTTCAATGCCCAGAATTCTTGGGAAAATGTGAAGTATGTTCAATGCCCAAAATTCATGGAAAAATGTAAAGTATGTTGGTATATGCTTATAATCCAGTTCTAAGGAAGCAGGCCCCCTGGGACTCACTGCTGGCCAGCCCAGCCTACCAGATGAAATCCAGGATAGTGAGAGATCCTGTCTCAAACACAAGGTAGATGGTTCCCAAGAAACATACACACACAAAATGCACACAATTAGCTGGGTTAAGTCTCAGTCTCTGAGTTAGAGCACATGATTAGCATGCACAAATTTCTGGATTTGAAGTGCACGCACACACACACACATACACACACACACGGACACACATACACATTACATATATATTTAATATATGTATATACTATAATTTTATGTGTAGTATATATTATCAAACATCACCACTTACATTCATAAGACCCTACGACATGTACCCATTAAACTCTTCTAAAAAGGTTGTAATAATTTATAACCATTCTTTCGTACTTTCAAACTTTCAGACTTTTTTTATGAACAATTCTATACCTTACTATTCTACTTAGTAACCACTTTATCTCAGAACTTAAATCAAAAGCCACAAAACATACTTGACTGTACTTCAAAAGACACTATTGAACCATGCATCGTACTGCACACCTTTAATGCCAGCACTTGGAGACAGACAGGTGGAACTCTTTGAGTCTGAGGCCAGCCTGGTCTACAAAGCAAGTTCCAGGACAGCCAGAGCTACATAGTGAGACAATGTCTCAAAAAGACAGAAGGGGAAGGAGGAAGAGGAAGAGAAGGGAATAAAAGTAGAGAAAGGAGGAGGGATTAGGGATGTGGCTCAGCAGCAGTCAAATACTCACTGGCTTGTGTGAGGTCCTGGATTTGATGTATAGTAACACCCATGAACACAAACAGAGACGCATATACAGGAAGTACAGAGAGAAGAAGCAGAAAGGGAGGAATTTTTTCAACTCATATACTTGATAGGGGACTTCTATCAGACATGAAGACGACTCTGAAAACCTTAATAATAAAAAGTTCAACCCAGTTAAACCTGGGCATAAGATCTGAATCTTGTATTAACATGTAAATATCTAAAGATTTACAACGGACTAAAAGAGGGGCTGGGAAAGTAGTTCTGTTGGTAGACTGCTAGCCTAGCATGCACAAAGCCCTGGGTTTGATCCTCATCACTTCATAACCAGATTCGATGGTTCCAGCATTTAGAAAAGGAAGACAAATTCAAGGTCAATCTGGGCCAGTCTGGAATACATGAGACCCTATCTCCATAGAAAAATGCAAAAAGATGTATTAAAAAACAAAACACTCGATCTGGTGGTGGTGGTGCAGACCTTTAATCCCAGCACTCATAGGCAGAGGCAGGCCTGATCTACAGAACGAGTTCCAGGACAGGCTGGACTACAGAGAGAAGAAACTGTGTCTCAAAAGTACAAACACAAAAACAAACAGAAACAAACAAACAAAAGAAGCACGAAAAAATCTTTAGCCATTGGGAAAATGAAAAGAAAAACCACAATGATATAGCACTTCCCATGAGCTGCCATTTTAAGAAAAAAAGGCAGCAGCAAGAGCTTAGGAAAAATACCTGACTAGCACACAAGCGGTCCTGGGCTTCATTGCCAGCACTGCAAAATAGATTTTTGAAAAAATCAATACCAAGACTCGGTTAAGGTACAGAGGAAATCAGAGAAAATAGAATGCTCTTGTACTACTGTTGGTACAATAGGGCAGCTATTTGGAAAACAAACTGAAGTTCCTCACAAGGTTAAATGAGTTACCATATGGCCCAGAAATTCCCCTCCTGGTCATTCTCAAAGAGAGATGAAAGGAAAACTTGCACATGAATATTCATTGCAACATTATTTATAAGAGCCGTAAATTTCCTTTTAAGAACAAAAAGAAAATGAAGGATCAATACATTTTTAAACACAGATGATCATATACATTATGCTAGGTGGAATAAGTTGCAAAGAATCACACAATAAATGACACAATTCAATGACATGCCAGGGCATACTCATATACAAAAAATAAATCTTTTTAAAAATATATAATATTCCCATAATTAAGTAACAGATGATTGTATTTTATGTAGTACCATCTTAGCATTTTATATAATATTATTTAATGAATTTAACACATAGTTCTTAAAAATAAATGGCCAATAAATATTTGAAAAAAGTGCTCAACATCCTTGCCATCAGGGAAATGTAAATTTTAAACTGCTCTGATATTCTATCTTACCCCAGTCATAATAACTAAGATCAAGGAAACAAATGGCAACAAATGCTGGTGATGATATGGTACCCCCATTCACTGCAAGTAGAAACAAAAATTGGTAAAGCTATTGTGGAAACCAATATGGAAGTTTCTTAAACAATTAAGAACAGAACTACCATATGATACAGCTATACCACTACTGGGTATATACCTAAAGGACTCAAAGTCAGCATACTACAGAGATACATGTACACCCATGTTTACTGAAGCTTTAGTCACAATAGCTATGAAGTAGAAACAGTTTAGATGTTTATGAAGAGATAAATTTAAAATGTGGTGTATGGCTTGGGAGATAACTCAACAGATAAAGTGCTTGTCATGCAAATATGAGGATGTATGTTTGGACCCAGAGCACCCATGTAAGAGCTTGGTGGTAGCAAGCAGTGCTGAGGGTCAGCCTAGGTTAAATGACAAGCTACAGATTCACTGACCCTGTCTCAAACAAGATGGGGCCAGTGAGGTGGTTCAGTGAATAAAGGTGCTTGCCACCAAGCCTGATAACCTGAATTGGCCCCCAAGATTCGCCTGGTAGGAGAGAAGCAACTCCTCCAAGCTGTCCTTTGGCCTCCACACATGCACACATTTGCACAGAAAGAAAAAAAAAGGTGAAAAGTGAAAGGAACTGACTTAGTGTTGACCTCTGGCTTTCACATACACACAAGTGTGGTACTTACACAAATGGGATTTTATTCATCTCTAAAGACAAATAAGACATTCACAAGGAAATGGATGGAACTGTGATCATTGTTAAGTGAAATAAGCCAGAGGCAGAAAGACATGTATCGCCCAATTATGTGTCTGTGTGTATGTCTGTGTATGTGTGTGGGAAGGGGGGAAGGGGTAAGACAGAATGGGGACAATGTTGGGGAAGGAAGGGATCAAAATTAAATAAAAAGAGCAAAGAGGTGCAAAAGAACTCAGCATATGATACATGTATGAAAGTGTCGCAATGAAATAAACAAAAGAGCAATAAATTAGAGCTGCTGAAATGGCTCAGCTGGTAACGGTGCTTGCTGCAAACCCTGATGCCCCAATGACAAGGTGGAAGGGGAGAACTAGCTCATATAAGCACCCCTCCCACTCAAAAGAAAATGCAAAAAAAAAATTCTTGGGTTTTTTTGTTTGTTTGTTTGGTTGGTTGGTTGGTTTTTGGTTTTTCATGACAGGGTTTCTCCATGAAACAGTCCTGGCTATCCTGGAACTTACTCTGTAGACCAGGATGGCCTTGAACACGTAAGTACCTGCTTCCTCTGCTTCCCAAGTCCTCAGATTAAAGGTGTATGCCATCACCACTGACTTTTTTTTTTTTAATGTGTAGCCCAGGCTGGCCTCAAACTCTTGATCCTCCTGCCTCTGACTCCTTCAGCAAATCCTGCTGGAGTGTGCCACCACAAACAGCAGCTTTAATTGTCACTCTTTAAAGTGACAATTAAAATAATTTCTTTGCATGACAAACAAAAATTAATAACTAATTTCCTTTTATTCTAAATCATCTGCATTTTTAGTTAGAAAGCACAGGATAGTTATAAAGAAATCCTATGGTTTTCTACAGTACATTCATGAATTTCCTTAAGTCTTTGACCCACTTATAATTTATTCTAATTTAGACTAGATACAAATCCAACTTTTTGCAGTGTCTAAACAGCTATTAATAAGAATTTTCTGATTAGTCCATTTTTACCCACTGATAAGAGATACCATCTTCATATCATACTCAAAAACAATAAAAATAGAAGAGTAATTGTGCAGAAACAGACAAGTAAATAAGATGGAGAGACTGAACCTAATATTTTTCTTTGAGGTACAAGCTTTGTCCCCCGCTGGAATGAATGAGACAGTAGTCTCACTATGTAACCCATTCGGATCTCCAAGTCACTATGTAACCCAGCCTTATCTTAAACTCATGGCTTCCCTTCTGGCTCAGGTCCCTGAGTACTGGGATTACAGATACACACACCACTGCACCCATCTTGAGTGGGACATCTTCATTTTTTTCCCATGCTCACTAATCTGTTCAGGACGTACCTTGTTTCCTAGAATTAACCTTGGCCATTTGTATTTTTCCAGAAAAATCAGACTTCATGTAGATTTTCAGATATTTTTCATGCAAACTCTAAGCAGAAGTTCCTTATAATTGAAAAAAAAATTAGACTGAACACTTGGAAGACAGAAATAGGAGGACTGCCATAAGATCAAGGCCAGCCTGGTCTATGTAGTGAGTTCCTAGCCAGGCAGGACTACATATTGAGGCATTGTCTTTAAAAATAAAGCAAAACAAATTCTTCCAAGTCTATAGATATTCTGCTTTATTATTTATGACTATAGTCTTGTGATTTTTTTACCCTTTTATGTTCCTGAGTAGGTTTATTTGCCTATTTCTTTTTCACAATAACATTTATTTGCCATGTCTTTCATAAGGTTTTATGATGTTTTTTGAGATAAGGTCTCACAATGTATTCCTGCCTGGCCTGGAACTCACTATGTGGACCAGACTGGCCAAAAACTCAAGAGAGATTTGCACTCCTGAGTGCTTGGATTAAATGCCTGCACTACAATACCTGGCTGGGGTTTTTCTTTTAATATTAGTTTTTGAGACAGGATCTCATTATGTGTCTTAGGCTAATATCAAACTCATGATCTTCCTGTCTCCACTTAAGAGCTGGCATTATAAACAGGTACCACAACACTTGACTTTTTAAATTCTGTTTTAAAAATTATATTTATATTAATTCTCAGAGAATTTTGTGTACAAACACAATGCATTGTACTCATATTTAGCTTCCCTACTCTCCACCCCCTCCTAACCAACCGCCCCCTCCTAACTTCATGTCTTTTTTGTAATAACCCATCAAGTTCAATTTGTGCTGCCCATTTACACATGGGACCATGCACTAGAGCATGGTCAACCTACATGGGACCATATGAACAAAGGACATTTTTCTGCTTCCCCTAACAGCCATCATATAGTGGTGAGGTTTCATGGCTCCCCCCTCCCCCTTCCATGCTAGAATGTTGGTCGGTTTAATCTTGTGCAGGTCTTGTGCAGGCAACCACAGATGCTGTGAGTTCATAAGTGCAGTGGTCTTTCACATTGAGAATATACTGTTTCTTACAGTTCCAACCCGAACTCTGGCTCTTTTCATCTCCTCTTTTGCAATGAATGGTCCCTAAGCCTTGGTGGGATGATGTAGATGTCCTATCTGTGGCTAAGCATTCTATACATTTATTCTCCACACTTTGACCAATAATGAGAAAACATAATTTAAAACTTTAAAAAGACACAAGAAAGCACTGTCTTTTTCCTGGGAAAATGGTTAAGGTTAAAAAAGGAAAAGGAGTTAGGGAGTGGCAAGATGGCTCCATGGGTAAAGGCACTTGCCACCAACCCTGACAACCTAAGTCCTCTGACCTCCATATGTACACTGAGGTACACACACACACACACACACACACACACACACACACACACACAATAAATAAATAAATAAATATAACCTATTTTTAAAAGAAAAAGAAGTGGGTGTAGTGCCACACAGCTATAATCCTATGACTTGGGAGGTGGAGACAGGAGAATTGAGAGTTCAGGGCCAGCCTTGGCTGCATACACAGGCCAACAAGATGGCTCAGCAGGCAAAAGCACAAGCCTCGGGACTTCAGTTCGAGCCTAGCACCTAAGGTGGAAAGAAGGCTAAAACCCAACTTCTAAAAGTTATCTTCTGGCCTCTACACAGAATCTTAGGCAGACATAATTCTGCTTCCCCACATATCTTGGTAAATTAATGAAAAATTTAACCAAAAACCAAGACACTACTAAAAAATGTACAAATAACATGCTGACAAGGACATGGAGAAAAGGCCACATTTAAACACTGGTGGGAATGAAAATTAATGGAATACAGTATCAAGATTCCTCAAAAACCTAAAAATAATCTACCATATGACCCATATGTACCACTTGTTAGAATAGCCCAAAGGGAATTAAATCAGCCTATCGATGAGATACCTACATTAACATTCTTTATTACACTATTCCCAACAACCAGACAAAATCAGTAGATGAATGGATAGAGAAAATATGGTAAATAAAATAAGCCATATGCAGAATCTTTTTAAAAAATTAATCAGATGCCACCTTTTCAACATGTTTTTCAGTTGAAAATTAAATCCAGTACCGTGTGTGTGTGTGTGTGTGTGTGTGTGTGTGTGTGTGTGTGTGTGTGTGTACCTCAGCGCGCACACACACACACACACACACATAGGGAAACTTCAATTATCATCTTTAGAAATGCCATCCACCTCTTTTGACATAAGGTCTCTCATTGGCCAGGACAGCAAGCCCTAAGGACTCACCTGTTTTTACTCCCCTAGTGATGGGATTACAAGCTCAGGTCACCACACCTGGCATTGAATCTTTTAAAGTAAATTTCGTCCTTCATGATTTCACAGAATTGATTTTCTAATATATTAAAATTTTTATCTTGATCACTAAAATCCTTGGTACCCTCTTTAAAATTTGTGCTCAGAGTACCTGTTTGTCTCACCCTAGACAAGTCTCTATAACTAATTCTTAAAAATGATATAATCAGGGACTGGAGAAATGGCTCAATAAAGAACACTAACTTTTCTCACAAAGGACCAAAGTTTGGTTCAGAACATCCACATGGTACCTCACAAGTGCCTGAAACTCCAGTTCCAGGGGATCTAACACCCTCTTCTGGCCTGTATAGGCTTGTGTGACTATGGAATGTACATAAAGTTATTCAAGTTCATATACACATTTTTTTAAAAAAAAAAAAACTTATTTTTTAAAGTGGTATATTGAGCCAAGTATAGTGATGAATGCCTTTAATCCCAGGAAAACAGGAGGTAGAGACAGGCAGATCTCTGTAAGTACAAGGCCAGCAAAGGCTACACAATGAGTTGTAGGACTACACTAGAGCTACATAGTTGAGACCCTGTCTCAAAAAAAAAAACATAAAAACAAAAACAAACAACAACAACAAAATAAAGTGGTATCTTTTTTCCTTTTCTTTATGTTTCTATACTTTTTTTTTCCAAATTGTACATAGAAAGCATAGATAGACTACTCTGAGTTTTTAGAAAACATAATTTTGGTTTTTCCTTTTTCAATGAGACTGGTTGTTGCTTATTCTACACTGGCTTCAATCTCACTCAGTATGTAGCCAAGGACGATCTTGAACTTCTAATCCTCCTGCCTATACCACCCTGCTCAGTTTTATGTGGTGCTAAATATCAAACCCAGGGTGTCATGCATGACAGTTATTCTACCAGCTGAGCCATATCCCCAGCTCATGGAAAAATACCATTGGAAAAAAATTAAAGACTCACTCAATAAAGTTCCGCATGCTTTCACCATGGGGCTTGCAGGAAACAAAAACTAGAGTGTGGATGGCCCTGCAGTTCCGAATGGCCTGCACCACTTGGTAATCTGAAGGAGTAAACACCTTGTTAATACACTTAACCTATCACAGTCCGTTATTCCAAAATTCACATTAAGTAGCTCTAAGGACTGCTAAGGAATGGAGGAGAAGCTGCTTCAGGGCTACCATATAGGCAGCCCCTTAGCCTGATATGGGAATAAAGATGCAGAACTGGTGGATACCAGGGGGAACACCCAAATTGCCCTCCTTCCTTACGCAGTCCAGCACGGGCCGGATTCACCACAGCAACAGTTAACATCTCATCTTTCTGCAGCCTTAACAACTGTGGCAAAATCTTCTCTGCTCTACCAGCATGAAACTCACAGTTAGTGACACCTGTGAAGGAGAGGATCATGTGGCATAATTTGAATCCAACAAGCGGGAAGCCTTGGTTTTATAGAACTATACAGCAACCAGAGTCCTGCCATTCTTTTTGACTCCAGTGTACCTCTGAATATTAAAGAAAGAGGCACTCTTGGACCTCCTGTAAGTACTTTCCCTTGGAACGTCTGAATAAGCCTCCCATCTAAAGTGACTGGACAGTGCAGCATGCAAGTATCTACATCACAACAGAAAACCTTGACTTTCACACAAGTGCTATTTCTGTCCCATCAGAAGTTTTCACTTGGTGCCTCAAGAACTGTCTAGAAGTTGGGCATGCTAGCACACATCTGTAATCCCAGCATTTGAGAGGCAAAGAAACAGATAAGACATTCAAGGCAAGCCTGGGCTGCACAGAAACTGCACAAACTATTTTTCATATTGCAATTTGACATTTTATTTAAACAAAAGGTTATATTTTAAAATTGTAGGTTTGTTTATTTTGTTTAAGACAAGACCTCACCATGTAGGCTGGTTTTGAACGTCCTATATAGAGACCAGGTTGGCTTTGAACACACTGAAATATACCTGCCTCTGCCTCTGCCTCTGCCTCCTGAGTACTGGAATTAAAGGTGTTCACCCCAATGACAGGCCAAAATTCTAAGTTTGAAACCTATTGTATTAGGTTCTTATGCTCAGAGTCTTATGTAAAACATGTTCTTCTAGTATGTTAAACATTTTACCATTTCCCTTCCCACCAACTAGGCTTGCACTCTTGGGCTCTTTACAGAATGAAGAAAAAAAAAAAAAAGAAATAGTTATTAAGATCTCTCCCAGAAAACATCAAGATCCAACTGTGGCTACTCTATTTAGAACTCTGCTTCCCTATAAGCTGAGGATACAGTATGCCTCCCTTTGCATAGAAACAAGTGCATTTCTGTTTGTTTGATTTTGCTGTGCTGATAACAGACCCCTGGGTATTACACATGCTAAGCAAGCAGTCTGCCATCCCTCAAATACATTTCCTTCATTTCTCCCCAGAATTGATCTAGGTACCATTGAAGGCTGCAGTCCACCTGGCATCTTCTACTGCCTGCTCTACCAGCTCAATGCCAAGGACCTGGGATGCACGCTGAGCCAGAGAAAGGCCAATCACACCTGGAAAAGTAAAAAAGAAGAGGAAATTATTTTTGTGTTTCAACCTCATGGTTATATTCAGACCATTAATACTATCTCCCCCTGTCACCCTTGAAAGGCCATAAGCTCTGGGTAGATAGATGGACAACACAGACTCATCCTAGGGCTACCACTTGCCCGTTCCACAGCAAATGTCAAGGAGGATGGTATTGGAGTTCACTCCACTCAGCTCCCCAATGGTCTGATAGAGCAATTCTGCGCCAGCGGTATTAATCTGGAAGAAGGCATCTGGAGAGATGCGGATCTTCAAACCCAGAAGATCTTCAAAGATGTGTGGTTCCCCAAACAGGAGTTGGTAGGGGGACTGCTGATGGCTGCAACGGGTCATGGTACTAGGGAAAAAAAGAAAGGAAGTCAGCATTTTAAAATGACAGAACTTTCTACCTCTTACTGCTTGGTTGAAAGGGGCCCCTCTCAGCTCGGAGACACAGCTTGCTCGCCACACCTCTGAGACTTCTGCATGAGTCCCCTTCTTGAGGGATGGAGATAAGTGTGCACACTCTCATTTTACATTCTTTTTGTTTTTATTTTGAGAAGGTCAAGGCTACAATACCCCCACTTCACTTTTCTATTCTAGCCTGGGTTCCCAGATGTGGCTGGTGTATAAAAGTCAGGTCTAACTAGCCGGCGGGCCTCCACTCTCAGTAGCCTACCATCAGGCAAGCACAAAGCCAGGCTAAGGCAAGCCTATAGCCTCCTACTTCTTGTCTAGCTGCCCCACGCTTACCTTTCCTGGAAATAGAGTGAGGTCAATTCACAGACTGCTCCGGGGCCTTGAGTGAAAAAGTCCTTCAAGGTCACCTTCTGAGCACACAGTTCCTCCTGCCCAGAACATGAAATTGTGAGGCAAGCAGATGCATCCCCGACAAATTTTACTGCCAATAGTTACAGGATTCAGCCCTGAAGCAGTCAGACAAGAAGACACATTTCTCAAGTCCTATTATAAATAACACTTAGCATAAAGCAATGTTCTGCAGGGCAAAATCAACAACAACAGGCTATTTTCACATCTCAGTTGAAGCACTGCTTGGCTTCTCAGCTTTTGACAAATCTCATACAATAGAACTGGCACTTTCTCTAGTTTGAGCCTCTAATAGTTTTCCAAAGAAAGTGTGAGTTATTCTTATAAACAAGAAGCTAAACTAAGCTTCTGGCCCATCATGCACAGAAAATAACCTTTCAAATCCTTTCGTATTTCTCCACTTTTGCTATCCCAACCACCCACTCAAATATCACCTCAGAATACATGAGTCCTAGAACAATGAACTGGGAAACAAAAGCAAGAATAGGGTGGGCAGGCAAGATGGCTAAGAGGGTAAAGGCACTGGCCATCAATCCCAATGAGCTGAGTTCAATCCCTGGGACACATGTGATGAAAGGAGAGAAACGACTCATGCCAAGTTGTTCTCTGACATCCAACTAAAGGTACAAGGAAAATAATGAACTCCTTCTTTTCTGACTACAGAACATATGAGAATTCTAATATTGCTAATACTTCAGACTAGCTTGACATACAGATACAGGGTAATAAACCATGTCAGAGCTATAGAATTTAAAAGACCAGGCCAGGAATCAAAGGGCTCAGAGGCAAATCCTAGCTTTGTAGTTAACTGGCTCTTTAACCTTCCATGTGGTTATGCCTCCCTTTGGAAATCTATAAAATGAGAATGGTAACATTCTTCTTATACCTACCTACTTCATAAACTGGTTGAGATAATCAACTAAGTATTAGGGTGTTTCTATATGAGATTATCTGTGCTGATTGGGGTTCTGTTGTTTTGTCAACAGGACACAAGATGAAGTGATCTGGAGCCTCAGCTGAGGAACTGCTTCCACAAGACTGGCCTGTGGATATTTCTAGTGGACATTTTCTCAACTGATGGTTGTTATGGGAAAGCCTAGCCCACTATATGCTGTGTCATCCCTGGGAAAGTGGTACTGAGGTATATAAGAAAGCAAATTGAAAGCTGGGGAGTTGGTTTCGTGGTTCATAGCACTTGTTGCCATTGCAGAGGACCTGGGCTTGATTTCCAGTACTCACACGATGGCTCACAATTGTCTGTAAGTCCAGTGTCAGGGGATTCAAAGCTCACTCTGACACCAAGCATACACATGGTGCATATACATACATGCATATATTCATACCCATAAAATAATTTTAAATCTAAAAATAAAGCAAACTGAGCAAGCCACAGGCAGCAAGCCAGGAAGCCGTATTCCTGCATGACCTCTGATTCTGTTAACGCCTCTAGATTCCTGCCTTGAATTCTTTCTCTGCCTCCCCTTCAAGAGAGACTATGAGCTGTAAAGTGAAATACATTCTCAAGTCACTCTTAGTCATGGTTTTTATCACAGCAACAGATAGCCAACTAGAACACTGTCTGAAAGTGCTAAGTGCATTTCAAATGTAAAGCATAATTTGGAAGACTGCTACCCTCGCCACTGTACTAGCAAGAGTGTGTGAAGTATTTAGATTATAACAGTTAGACATGCAAATCTCTGTGGAAATAGCTTTTGGATTCAGTAGAGTCTACTACTACATGAAAATACTTGGGAGTCCATGTACAATAATCATCTTGGGTAACCTAGCCATAGTCTTTGTGTTTCCATTATGCCAGCAGTATGGGTAAATTATATTCTTACCAACTCCTCTTCATCCTCAAACCGGCTCGCCAACCTACACAAATATTCTGGATGTGTAGTTTCTGCTATCTGCTCTGAAACTCCTAAAAAAAAAACCCAAACCAGGAGCATAGTAGAGTTACTGCAGAAGTGGTTTCCTATCCTGGTAGGCTTACCTGACTTAACCCCTGAGGATGAAAAGTGATGATAGCCATCACGTGTCCTTGGCTATTAGTTCGAACTGTAAGCTCACGCCAGTGTCCACCTTCATGAAACAGAAGACAGGGCTCCACTGAAGACTGTCGAAGGAATACTTCATAGTACTAAGAAGAAACTGATATTACATATAGGCAAAAAGAACAAGTTCAACTGTTCATTGTTCATTCTTGGTCATTATTTGAGGCTATATTATGCTCCACAAAATGTATGTGTTGAATGAAGCCTTTAACCCCATATCCTCGGAGAATGACTGCATTTGGAAACAGACCTTTAATCAGGTGAGCAAGGAAGCCAGACATGGTAGTTGCATTCTTCAAGGATTCAAGAGGCTGAAGTCAGAGAATCTCAAGTTTAATGTCATTCTAGGTTACCTAGTGAGACTCTCAAAAGTACACAAAATTAGCAGGTGATTTTACATTAAAGAGAAGCCATTGTAGTGGTTTGAATAGATGCGGCCCCATAGACTCATGTGTTTGAATGCTTGGCCCATAAGGAGTGGCAATATTAGGTAGTGTGGCCTTGTTGGAGTAGCAGAAGCAGACTTTGAGGTCTCATATATGCTTAAGTCATGCCCACTGAACAGTCTCTCCTTCTGCTCTCACCCATCTCCACCGGCATGTCTGCCTGCACATCACCATGTCCTGCCATGACAATAGTGGACTACACCTCTGAAACTGTAAATCATCCTAATTAAATGTTTTTACTTTATAAAGAATTGCTGTGGTCATAGTCTCCTGACAGCAATAGAAATCCAAACTAAGACAGCCATTAAACATACTTAATCCAATCTCACCAGCATCTGTATAAGAAGAGGAAATGTAGGGGTAGGAATATAGCTCAGCTGGTAGAGTGTTTGTCTGGTATGCAGGAAGTACTGGGTTTCCTATCCTTAGCACTGCATAAAAACTAGGCATGGTGACACATACCCATCATACCCGCACTTGGAAGATAGAAGCAGGAAGATCAGAAGTTCCAGGTCATCCTTATGTACACAAGTTTGAGGCTACTCCATGAGGAGGAAGAAGAAGGAGGAGGAGAAGCAGAAGAAGCAAGAAGGGGAGGGGAAGGGAGGGGAGGAAGAAGGAGGAGGGGGAGAAGTAGGGGCACACCAAAAAATCAGAAGGGCTACATATATAAAAGACTGAGTGGGGTCAGTATAAAGATAGCCATAGGCCTGAAGAAAAAAACAAACCTGTAAGACCCTGATCTTAGACTTGGATTTCCAGACTAGAAAGAACTAAATTTCTTTTTTCTTTTTCTTTTCTTTTTTTTTTTTTTTTTTTTTCCTTTTTATACCTCAGGCCTGCGGTAATTTATTTAAGTAGCCCTAAGAAGGTGACACAAAAGCATGCTCCTTGGCCAGCCATGGAAACACATATCTATATTCCTAGCTCCCAGGAAGCTGAGGTGGGAGGATCCTGAATTCCAGGCTTGCCAGAGCTATGCAGCGAATCCTGCCCCATGATCTTATGGAGGACATCACCACTTTTTATATTCTAAACTCTAAGTTCCATGAAGGTTTAGCATCATATCCTCAATCTGGCACATAATACATGCCCAATACTTTTGAAAGAAGGTATGAATGAATAAATAGAAAACACATTCAGATGCAAGACCTCAGTTTATTCTACATGTGATACTAAACACAAGAAACTGCCATTTCTGTGAATTAGTTCTGGCACTACTTCCCAATGCCTTACAAAGCTGCTATGATTTATTCTTACTTATAACTTCCTGGTGCAAGCCACTCATTTCTATAACATATAATCAGATGTCAACTCTACTAGCTTAATCCAATCCTCTGTGGTTTCAAATATCCTTAAAGTCAAGAACAGGGATGTAGCTCCTTGGTAGAGGACCTGAAAACATGCACAAGGTCCAGGGCTTTATCCATAACCCCCCCCCCATCAATAAAAACAAACTTTTCAAACAGAAGCCATTTGGTACTATAATAGGACACACTGTCTGACACATCGTCTGATTTTCTTGTGCCTTTGATTCTCACATTACATGAAATCTAGGTCTACTACATTTTCAACCAAAACCCCAGATTATCTAGGGAAGAAGAAGTTACATGAAAAAAACAGTGCTACCTGGAAAGATAAGATGAATGAAGGTAACACTTTAACACTTTTTCTATCACCTCCTATACAGAAGATATGTTTAACTACACTGAACATATTTTTTCAAATTTTGGGATTGGTAATATATTTTTTTAAAAGACTAGTTCAGTTGTTATTGACTTCCTGGTTTAAAAGGGATGCATTTTGGAAGCAAGATTCAAAGAGGTCTTGAAAAGATGATGGTGGGAAAAATAAAGCCTGATCTGGAAATAATGTTTAAGGAAATATGACCTACATCTCCATCTCTGTATGACCATTGTAAAATGAAGAACAACTCCTGTTTTTATATGAGAACACTTAAGTTTTAAGATTCATCAGATCTTCTAATTAAAATAGAAGAATAGTCTACCTAAAAATGCTACTCAGATGAAATAAAGGAGTGTATTGTTATTTAAGCCCATTGTTCAAACAATTCTCTTTGTTCTTCCCCAAAGCATCATTTTCTGCCTCGGCGCTAGATCATCCCCAATAATAGACAAGCATTCTTTCACTTTCTCACTTTCAAAAAAAAAAAAAAAAAAAAAAAAAAAAAAAAAAAAAACACACACACACAAGCAGGAGCTGAAGAAATGGCTCACTTTCTCTTATGCTTGATTATTCTTGAGTTCCTTTGCTTACTCTGCCTCTACAAACAACAGAACAGGCTGAACTCATACCCTAGAGTCTAAGTGTTCAGTAGGCTATACCACACAAGTTTAAGTACACTATGGTATTCTCATAATAATGAAACCAGCTAAGGCTGTGTGTCTCATAAAATAACTCCACTAACTGAATCACATTCAAAGTCTCTGAAAACGAACTCGGGGTGGAGGTTGCACACCTTTAATCTTAGCACTTGGAAGGCACAGATGGGCAGATCTCTGAGTTCAAGGCCAGCCTAATCTACAAAGAAAGTTCCAGGACAGTTGGGGCTACATAGAGAAACCCTGTCTCAAAAAACCAAGGGGAAAAGTCTCTGAACAACAAATGGACAGTTATTGAGTGAAGAGGAAACAAAAGAACATGAGAAAATCTTTGCCAGCTGTGCATCTGATAGGAGATTAATATCTAGAATATATAAACAATTCAAATAATAAAAACTCAAAGAATAGTCAAATTTACTGGCCAGTTCTCAAATGCATAAATGGCAAAAACCCTCCATATTTACAATGTTCCATATCCTTAGCCACCACAGAAATGCAAATTAAAAATACACTGAGACTGCACCTCACCCCAGCCCCAGCATGATTATCAGCAAGAAAACAAACAACAGAGTCAAGGATGGCAGGACTTAAACATGTTGGTGGGAGTGCTGCCACTATGGATTTCAGTATGATTCCCCCAAAAACCTAAAATCAAAACTACCATTATGATCCAGCTGGACCACAGCACAAGGTATATGGCCAAAGGAACTCAAATCGGCATAACACAGAGATATCTGCACATTCATGTTTACCATTGCACTATTCAAAACAGGCAAAACGTGGAGCCAGCCTAGATGCCCATCAGTAAAGGGACAAACAAAACAGGATGGCATATATTACACAACAGAGTTTTATTAAGCCATAAATTAGAATGAAATAATACCACTTGCAAGAAAATGGATGGAATGGGAGATTATCATATTAAGCCAAAAAGCCAGACTCAGAAAGGCAAATATCATGTTTTCTCCCGTATATAAAATCTAGATTTTTTTTTTGATTTGCATCAAAGGAGAAGGGAGACTATTTCAAAGCATAGGGGATACAGAGGGAGAAAGACACATATAATCTAAGTGATTCTATTATAAACTTACCCAATGAAGATACCCCTGCCCATCAAAATTTCAACAGCTTCCCATTTCACCCACAATAAATGGTAAGGAACTACAATGACCTCTCACTACAGGATATGGCCTCTGTTAACTTTCACCTCATTGCCTACCTTTATTACTACCTAGTAAACACTCACCTGAGTCTATACGTTACCTCCTACAGAAAGCCAGCCATAACCCAAATGCTCTTAGCAGGCCTTTGTAGGTACCAGGCACATGCACACAAGCGCGCGCACACACACACACGCGCACACACACACACACAGACACACACACACACACACACACACACACACACACGTAGGCAAAGCACTTATATACAAAAAAAATGAAAAATAAATAAATAAATACTAAAAACAAGACAAAAAGATGAGCTGGGGGTGGTGGCATATGCCTGTAATCTTGGCACATAAAGTACAGAATCAGGGTGATAGAAAGGTCAAGACTTGCCTAGGCTACACAGCACGATTCAGTCTCAAAACTGAAAGGAGAACCTGAAGATACACAAGGTTTATCACTTGACACAGTTCAGGAAAGGCACATGCTTGAAGGTATAATACTACAGAAGGAGGCAGGCAATACTGTAACTTCTGCCCAGCCCACCGATCCCTTACAGTGTACTCAGTAAACTATTGTTCCTAAAGAACAAGATTCTGCAGAAGACAGTGACATGATGAAGTACACAGCTACCATCAACATTTGATTAAAAATCTGAACACAAAACTGGGAAATAAGTGATAAAGGAATACATACCTCCAATCCCATCATTGAAGAGACTGAGGCAGGAGAAATCTCAGTTTGATGCCAGTCTGGTATACAGGCTAGCCTGAGCTACATGTCAAGACTGTGCATCAAAGAAAGAAAGCAAGGAGATAGCTCAGCAGTCAAGAGCACCAGTTGCTGTCAGAGAGGACCCAGGTCCAGTTCTCAGCACCCACATGGTGGCTCACAAACACAACTCCAGTCCCAGGGGATCCAATGCCCTCTTCTGGCCTCCACAGGCACTAAGCACATGTGGTGTACAACTATACATGTAGGGAAATATCCCCACACACAAAATAATGATTTTTCTTTAAAAAAGAGAAACAAATTCACCCCTTTATCTCACCAAGAAACTGCTCTATCTGGTGACCTTCCTCTATCAGGTGACTGGAGGCTCTTTTCTCAGGAAAAAAACCAAGCCACTATA